ATATTAATTAAATATAATATATTAGTATAATTTCAGAAATCTATAATTACAGAAAACATCTTTCTTTTTTTTTTAATTGGCATATTTATTCAGGTCATTTCCTATAATTTCAAACATCAGTTTTCATTCTTTAAAATTATTTTATATGATTAGAGTTTTGATTAAATTGTTTCAAATGTATTATTTATTGAAATTAGAGTAAAACTTTGTTTTAATTTCATTTTAATATAAACAATATGCATTGATATGCATGTATATGTTAAAATTATATATTAATTTATAATCATTTTTACAAGTTCTCTAAAATTTTAATTTGGTAAAATTAATTATTAATCTATTAAATATAAAACATAAATAATATTTTAATAGTAAGTGCAACAATTTATAAGGACACAAACTTAAGTTTTAAAATTGTAACTATTCTGTTTATTTTTATTTTTAATAAAAATACATGAAAATATAGAATTAAATTTAATCTTCAAATGCAACTTAAGCTTTAAAATTTAATTTTAATATCAGATTTTAAACAAATTTTAATTTAAATAAAAATAGAATTCAAAAATTGATGAAAATTTTCTCAACAGATGGCAGTAATACTTAAATTTAAATCTACCCCGCGTTTCTTTATGCAGCGAGAGTGTAGCGGAATGACGTCACGAGCAGTGTTGGCCAATTAGAAACCAGTTTCAGTGTGTTCGCTGTAAAGCGCTTCTCGAGCGCTGCATAAAGAAACGCGGGGCTAGTGATAGATATTTTTCCTATACGTATTTTGCCAATAACTCCTGTTATTACTGATACAGTATTGTTAATCAATGCCTTCACATAAGTATACTGGATTTTTAAAAAATTATACTAGTGTTTGCCAGTGAACTAAATTCTTTTTGTGACTCTAAATTAAAAAATATTTTAATTGATATGTGCAAAAAACAAGCATTGTTCTATACAAGTTTACAATAATTTCTTCTTTCGAAACCATTTATTTCTAAATAAATATTAAATTTTAAAAATAAATTTTTATCGTGATCAATTTTGTTACATGAGGACAGCGGAATTATAATTATGTTGAGTCCGAATTTTAAAATATTTAGTAATGTTTTACTTATTCTTTAGTCTATGAAGGATAAATTTAGAATTAGGTCTCCGCAGATTAAATCAAAAAGTTTGTTTAAAAAAAATCTTTTAGTTGAAAGAGCACATGCAAATCTGATAATCTAAATATAGTTTTGAAATCCATAATTGGAATTAAAACTGGTTCTAGCGTAAAATAGTCGATGCAGAATCGCAAGGTTTGAAATGTCGGAGTAGATTTAGTTTGTTCATTATTATATTTTGTATTTGTTTTACCGGATAAATTTTATTTTAAACGGCAACTATATATCTTTCGCTTGTTCTATTGATGAAAGGCTTTTAAGGCATAACTGGATTCACTTTTTACTTAAAACAGATTTAAATTTTATGACAGCTTAACTTCTGTTATAATGCCACAATAAACAGTTTTTCTTTACTTCTTATTAGGCTTAACGATCATTATTAAATAAAAAAATACTTTGAATGTAATTTTTTCTGTTATAATAGTCTGATAAAATATAAATAATAGTAAAGCAAAAAATATTAATCAGAAAACAGGACCCAGACAGTGATCATCAATCAATTCGGATGTAATCCGGAACCACACATTTTTCCTATTCCTCTGTTAATATCTGTGGATAGACAAATGATAATTTGTATTTTAATTTAATTTAACGTATTCAATGTTAATTTTTAAGTTTAACTGTTTTTATTTCGATTATCATTCAATCAGATGATGAGACTAAACATTAAAATATCAAAGTTATGCATCATTCACAGAATTAAACAAAAATACTTAAACAGTTTAGTTATTTACTGATAGGCCTAATAATTAAATTGGCAAAACCAAAATTTTTTATTATCAAATAATTCATAATGGTTACAAAAAATAACAATGTTTGACGTTTCGTATTAATATTTGAGTGTACAGTACGTAAACATACTTTACCATTATTACAACTTTCTATCAATATTTTAAAATAGTTCCCGCATTGAATTAATTAAAAATTCAGATAATTTTTTTGAATAAAAGGAAGTATTTTATTCAGTTGTCTTACAAATAAATCATAATTAAGTCGAGGACTGATCAAGTGATTCAGAAAATCGTATAGATAGACAAACAAATTCGAAATAGATCCTGTATGTGTTCATCTATTTCATATTTGAATAATAATGTATTCAAAATAAAATTAACTATAAGTCATCTAGTAATATGGGTAGGTGAGAATGTTTTTAAATAATTGATATTATATTTTATGTAATTGTATAAAGTTACGTCAATGTAGGAAAAAACATTTCGTGGATTAAACTAAAACTGAAACTTTTTAATTGTGCGTTACTAAAACAGAAATGCAGTATAATTTAATTTTCTATATGAATGAAATGCGAAGAATCTTAAATCATCAGAAAAATTTTATATTTGTAAATTTTTTCATATTTTTTAAAGTACTTTTAAAGATATTTTTCCGAAGTGTAGGCCTGCCAGGTCACATAAAATCCATAGATCAAATTTTTAATTATTTGAAATAGTTTTATTGAACTATATGCATGATAGACTAAGGATTGGGTAAAATATAACTTGTATTTATATTTAATATATATAATATATATTTTGTTTACATAATACATTTTCTAATAAATATAACTTAATCTTTGAATGCGAATAATAATTAAAATGTAATTCTTAAAATATAATTCACATATCTAGCCAGAAAAAAGGCGGAGAGAAACATACTCGTTAGAAAAAACGTCTTTAGGTCTAGAAGTATGTAGATTCAGTTCCATCTAGTGTCAGCTAGATTTTTCTGCCTAAATGTTCATTTATTTTTTATATTTTTGATGGTCATGCGGTTTATATATCATGATTTACATTTTCAGGGTTATCTGTTTATTAATATAATTAGCCATTCAAAATTATCATATCCTTTATTTTAAATCACTCTAATAGATATGTATCAAAGTAATTAGTGACTAAGTTTTTATTGCTATTTTGTAAAAGTCACGCTATTTGATATTCTATAAACTTTGATCTGGGACACAAATGAGGCAAATGTACTCTACGATATTTGACTCTTCTGATAATTTTCAGTGAATAAATATTAAATATTGTCATTCTATTCTGTTGATTTATATTAAAATTATCCATTTTATTTTGATTGTGGCATTTATTTTCGATTGAGTTAATTTGATACAAAAATTTGTAAGTGGTTTAAACTCCAATTATTGATGTAATACGCTAAGTGGAAGTAGAAAATTAACTAGGCTAATTACTTCCTAATTTACGACAGTTTAATTTTTCTAATTCTATTTTTAATTATTTAAAAACCGGATAGCAATATATAACTAAAGGGTTATAGCAAATTACATTTATTTTGACGATTTAGGGATAAATTAAAGAGAGGGAAAAAATCATTTTTAAAATTTGAATTTATTTAAATTTAAAAGGAAAAATAAGAATTTAATACGAAAAAGGAAATTAATTTTTAGTATTTTTTTAGTATTCCTGCTAAAAGAATTTGTTAATGGACAATTGCTTTATATTATTTCTTTTCTAGTCCATTTTCCAGTCTAATCTTTTTATTATTATTTTGAAATTATTAAAAGATTGTAAAATAGTCATATACTAAAGGAAATGTGCAAATGATTAATGGAATTAATTATCTGTAAATTAATTTATAAGAATTGTTTTCTAATTGTGTCAGTGTAAACGAACAAAACTTCTTATAGAACTCAAAAACTTTATAGCTTTTGTCTAACAATATTTTTCTTATGATAATTGTGATATTTATTGTAAATAATTAATAAATTTTATCTTTTCAAATTTTTAATACATCAGATTTTAAGTACCAACTTGCTACCAATTAACTAATTTTGACAAATCTATATAATTAACAATAACATTTTAATAGAATTTTAAAAAATAATTTGCAAATTTTAATTTAAAAAAATTTTTTAAAGTCATTTATATTAAATAGGTTTTTAGGCAGGTTTTTTTAAGATTATAATTCAGTATTATGTAGTATAGATAGCAGGTTTCGGGTTTCGGTTCTAAAACAAAAAAAAATTGGGCTTCTAGAACATCTACAGTTATTTTATCTTAAAAAATGATATTAAGTTTTGTAATGTGATGTATGATTACTCTCACGAATCATAAACAGTTTTATAGCTTTTTTAGTGCGGTTTTAGTATATTTATATTATTTTCTCATAATATTGAGATTTTATATTATATATATTCTCTGTTTGCTGTATATAGTTTGTATTTTTGTATTTTATATATATATAATATAAACTATATTCAGCAAACAGAAAATAAGTAAAGTTCAAGTAATTGCTTTGAGTATAAAATACTTTCAGAGTACTTAAAGTACTTTAAATATATCAAATTTATCATGATGTAGATTTTATATAAACATTAATATAATCCGTTTTTACTTAAGATTATTAAATTTTAGATGAATATGATCATCTAAAATTGCACGTGTTTTAGTACCAATCTTACAGTGAAATTTTTTAAAAATTGTTAATATAGAGGAACTGATTAAATTTGTTTTCAAGTAGCGTATATAAAAATGCAATGAAATTTTGTCTTTTGAATTTTCCATTCTTTACATTTATTCAAATAAATATTTGGCAGAAGTATGTTACGATTCTGTTACGTACTATTATAATGACACATAATATTATGAATTTGCTTAAGGATAATATATTTTAAATTTTTCTTTAACAAAATTGATTATTCTTTTGAAGCTATTTAGTTTCTGTGATATTGTATCTAGTTTTTCAATATCGAGTACAAACTTAACAGTATCATGTATACGTTTTAGAAGATCAATTTGTTTTATAGGTGTTATTGCTAATAGTTATTAACAGTTAAAATTAAATATTTCCAACTTTATATCTGAAAATATATGTAAACATTAGCAAGTTGTAAATGAAATAAATTAGTAAAATGCATTCCGTAAAAAAGTTTATTTTATTTTATTTTTTACAGTTATAACAATCCAGATAACTGGATAATTTCTTCTTTACACAGAGTTTTTTCGGGAATTGTATCCTCTATGATCAAGTTTCGACAATTAGAACACTGATTGAAGTTAGGAGGAGTTACAACTGCCATTTTTCTAATAGGCCTCGTAGGTTGTATTAACGCTTGAGTTTTGCTTAAATTATTTTCGAATTCACTCAACATGAGAAATTTTTCTTCTTTATTGCAACTGGTGATACAGTCGTCTAAAAACTCGTCAAAATCTGCTATAGCTTCTTCAGATATACAAGTCAGTTCCGGACGTTTTATAGCATCTACTCTCTCTCTATACACACTCAATTCTGATATTTTTCTCTTAGCATTGTCCTTTTTCTTTTGGGTTCTTTTACGGTGAAAGTTGATACCAAACATTGCTAAACTTCCTAACATTGTGAAAATAGATGATATGTAAAAACCGGATTTATTGCCGTATTTATGATTCAGATAACCTATTTAAATAAATCAATATGTTAGACATCGAAATAAGGTTCTTTCTGGATTAGTTGGTATAAATATTTATCTTCATAGCACAATTTCAGTTTTTAAATTTTATGTAATGTTGTGTAAAATGATTTTATCCGAAATTTTTATTTAGGTCTATAAGTAAAATATTCATTTTATTGTGGATATGAACTTATTATAGTTCATAAAAGAATTATATAGATTCTGTCATGTTTAATCCCTTTAATCTTTGATTGAAAGAAGTAAAACACAATAAAATATTATTTTCTATTTATTTAATAAAATAAACAGAAGTTAGATGTTTTGATATTTTCTTTAGCTAGTAATTTTTAATTACGACTGATATATTTTTGAGTTAAATTGGGAATACAAATTAAATTAAGTGTAGAATTTAAGCCAAAGTAGAAAAATCAATAAATTTGCTTTTAATATTTTTTAATATAATTTTTTTTTGTTATAGATTACTTATTATCTATCATCCTTATTACTAACTGTTTTTCATTATTAATCATAAGTTATTGTTTTGACAAATTTTTAAAGTTAAAGAATTTTGTGCTGTTGAAAACATTTTTATCATACTAAATAAAAGCGTATGATTTTTGAAAAATAACAATTTTTTAAAAATATATTTACATGTTAAGAATAGTGAATATGTATGACTTCCACTAGCTGTTGATAATCATTGGATAATCATGATTCTAGATTTTAGATATCGAATCAATAATACGAAAACTTAATTATGAGCTTTAATGATTTTTATAAAACTGTTTGATTGATCCAATCATTGGATGGTCTGTTACTTTTGATTTTGGATATATTTACCATATTAATATTGTTATTTTATTAGATTTAAACATGAACATAAATATTATGTGGTAGAAACGATTAGATGGAATTAGGTGAAAAATGGTAATATGGAAGAGTGGTTAGATGGAATTAGGTGAAAAATGGTAATATGGAAGAGTGGTTAGATGGAATTATAATCTATGGTTAAATAAACTATTGCAACAAATTATAAATACCCTAGGACAATGGTTCCCAATTAGTGGTATGCGTACACCTGGGGATACGCGAAATTGCATGAAGGGGTACACGCGGCAATCTAAAATCGGTCGATTTAAAATTTAAATGCATGAGATGAAGCAATAAAAAAATAATGGGTGGACCATCAAAAATTCTGCAATTTACAACACGATGTCGAATGCACAAATTCGTTTATTTATAACTAAAAATATTCTCGAATCTGTTTAAAAAACTGCAATGTAGCACAGTAATCAACACATGGCATAACTCATTCATTTATTCCTGCTTTTGTTGAGACGCGTTTCTATACACGTGAAATTCTTACGCAAGAAACAAAAATTGTACAATTAACACAATTTGTTTTCGCGAAATTAATTTTGAAAATTTTTGTCGCTGTTACGAATAACTCCGCCGACCACCTTCCCATCTCTGACCAAGAGGAATTAAATTAATAGACATTTCATGCAACAGCAGACTCAAGAGTTGTTTTGCAGAGCAATCACTGGGTAATTTTTGGGCTGACCTAAAAGACATTTATCATGTCAGAGAAACGGCAATAAAATATTTATTACCATTTTGCACAACATACCTCTGCGAGAGCGGATTTTCGGCCATGACAAACATGAAAACTAAACATGATCACCGACTTTAACTCGAAGATGACTTGAGACTGAAGCTGACCAAAAAGCTTATGTTATTTTCATTATTATTAGAATAATATATAAGATAATAAATGTAAAAAAAAAAAAACTTATTTTATTTATCACTAGCCGTCTATCACTATCCACAGCTTCTCCCGCATTATATCAAATTTTCTCGTGGGAGTAAGATATTTTCTCGCAGTAAAATGTAACCTATGTCCATCTCCAATATGTAAGCTATCTCTGTGCCAAATTTTATTAAAACCTGTTCAGCGGTTTAGGCGTGAAAAAGTAACAGACAGACAGAATTACCTTCAAATTTATAATATTAGTATAGATTAATATGAATTTTTGCTATAAGGGGTACGCGAATTTGAGCTCTTTCTTGAAGTGGTACGCAGGAAAAACTAATTGGGAACCACTGCCCTAGGATATATCACCAAACAATTTTTCTCTAAAGAATAATTCGCGTATTAGATATAGGGTATGAATTTACAATACGTCTGTAAATCTCATTACAATTTTGTAAATACAGTGCTATTTATTTATCTAGTTATGGACTTGAAGCAATTTGTAAATTTACAAATTTTTAAAGTATTTCTATAAATAAACTTTCTGCAAAAGAATTGTCAAAATTGTATATTATTTATAAACACTTTAATTTACCAAATTATCAAATATGACTGAAAATTATAGAATAATATATTACCTGTTAATATCATACCGATCAAATTAGGTATAGCTTGAAACCATTCCACATAACTCCACGCTCTTAGAAAATTTCTAGCTCGAACTTTTTCTAAAGTGAATAATTTTAACGAGTAATGATAACCACCATAAAATATTCCATATATCCATGCAAACATTATATAACTCCGATATTCATGAAACATGATTAATGCTAATATAGTAGCACTTGACATAAACATTGCTGCTTGACAAAGATATTGTTTAGCGATAAGACATTGTAAGCTGTTACGAACGACGATCCATCCAAATGCTCCACTACCCACAGCACAAGCAGAACCAAGAAATATCTGCAGCATAAGTAGCGAATGTTTATCGATTCCTTCTTTATCTCCTTCGTAAATCTAGACAAAAGAAAATAGATTAAATTTTATTAAAACGTATAAATTTTGATTTATAATTTTGTAAGCTTTACTTGACCTAGATTTACAACGTTGATAAGTTTATTATTCAAGTTTACTACAACCATTCACTTAAGGCAAGTATTATAAAATATTTAATATATTCCGCTCACGATTAATAATGATGCAAACATAAATCATAAAAAGTATAGGGTTAATAAAATATTAAAATCTACGTATTTACTAATAGTAAATAAGGTGATGATATTCCCATTGCTGTTAATCCACTGCTAATTATTATTATTTGTACAGTTCGAGACTTTAAAACTTTAAAATCGAAATATTTTGGCTTTGGTTTTGTTAATGTTGACATTTTCTCTTTTTGCTTAGAACGCTTTTGCAGACATTTAATGTGAAGAATTGCTCTTCTTTGCGGATGATAGAGAGATGCTGGTCTATAAAATACCGAGAGCAGGATAGTAATGACAAAGATACAAGTGACTACTTGAAACCCTAATCTCCAACCAATTTTTCTGAAATATAAATAAATTTTAGAAAAATACATTAATTGAAACTACTTCAAAATATGCCAAAGATTATTTGATAATTGTCACCTGATGCATTGCGTTAATAAGACGGGCACAATTATAGATCCTATGCCAGTCGATGTGCAAATGAATATCTCCACAAGTCCTCTTTTCTTTTTGAAATATTCGCAAACAATCACGGTTGAAGTAGTTCTTGAAAAGCTGACACCACATCCTATAATAACTCCATAACTAACATACATCTGATGAAATTGAGTGGCAAATGATGTAAATAAGCAACCTAGAGCAGTTATTATTCCACCAAAGAGTGCTATTAATCTTGTACTCTTTCTTCTGCAAAATGCTACAACTACGGGTGATAGGAATAACGTTACAGTGGTCGAAAGAGCGCCCACACATACTAAAAACAAATCACAATATGAATATTCTATAGATATTTGTAAAGAATAAATTTAAATCTTTAAACAATACCTGCTTGAACCACATCACTGTCTTTTTTAAACTTCTTTAATATTTCTAATAAGAAAAATCCAAAAGCGGAATGAAGACCAGTTGATAACATGTGTATAAGTACTGCACAAACACACACCACCCACCCCCAGCCACCTTCAGGATAATAATGCTGTTTGATAGTAGATGTCTTAGTTTCGTCCACTGCTAAACTGCCCTGATGCTTAAGACGACATTCTTCATCATAGTAAGGCACACACGCAACACTTGGAGATCTCACTCGTATCCCCGTAGATTTTCCAGGATTTGTATAATATGGACTTTGAGGATCGTTGGAAGCTACAGATTTAGAACGAAAATATCTTTTACCACTTTGGGCTTTATTAACTTTATCTTCGTCTCGTTGCGTATCCATCTCTGCAACTTTTACTAACTGGTTTTCTGAAAAAAGTAGAACGATTAGCTTCGGGGGTCTGTGACGTCATTGACCCAGTCTCTTTTCATTTTGGTTATTGTTATAACCGTTTACGGCGTGGAATTGGAAGAAATCTTTTTCAGTGGGAGTATTATTAGAACAAACTTTATAAATAAAATCTAGAGTAAAGTGAATTTGCGTAATGTTTGCTATTTCTTTGAAACAATATGCTTTTGCCATTTTTATGCATCACAAATTCTTCTACAGATTTATTTAGTGAATCTCGTTATTCACAAGCAAAAATTAAAATATATTAATACATTTATTTAATTGAAATAATATATTATTGCTAAAATTTTAACATAAAACTTAAAATTAGAACTGAATGTTATTCGCTGACATCTATTAGTGATACCAAATTTTAATATGAGATCACAAGTTTTGTCCTTTATAAGCCATCTGTTCAGTTCTAAATTTCCATAAACTGTATGTGTTCTCTAATTATTGAGTAGTACAGTAGTACATTAATACAAATAAATACCAAACTAATTTAATCTTTTTATCGTTATGTTATAGAAATAAAAACAAAAGAGTTGTTTTATGAAATACTTTATTTATTTAATTTTTCATAAGTTCAAAAATAAATCAGATTGAAACAAATTTAATAAATTATTGGAATTACAGTATATAAGACAAAGATGACTTTTGCAAAATTTCATTTTAGTAATCAAATTACTATTTTATTTATTATAATAATTTTAAATATTTATAATTATATATCAAATTATATTAAATTGCATAGAATTTTTAGATTATAGTCTATTAATCTGATATTTCTTTAAATATCAAATTTTTTTCTAAATNAAGAAACTTTTATTAATCAATTCTGTAGAAAATAACTTGAAATATTTAAAGAAATTAAATTTAAGAACCTCATTGTAGTATTATTTTAATGTAAATTTCACAAACTGAATAAGTTTTTTTCATTTTGAGCACTAATAGTACTGAAAAGTCAAATTTTCATATAAATATCCGTATATATCAACTGTTAAATCAAGCGACTGAGTTTAATATAAGCATTTTTGAAATAATTGATAGCTAGATAGATTATTCAATAAATAAAATTCGAATATATTAAACAATGAATTATTGAAATATATCCAAGAATTTTTTTTCTATTAACTGATCTATGATAGGCAACCTTTTCATCTAAATATAATTTAATTTTACAGTACTGTACATATAAAGCAATGTTTTTTTCAGTTGTAGATTTTTAAAATTATATCATATGAAAACTATGTAATACTAACAGATATATCAGGCATTTCTCGGAAAAAAGTAATATGGAGGAACATTAAAATTAAAATCATATTAAAATTTTGGTTATTATAGGCCAATTTGAATCAACAGCGTTATTTCGGCGAGGCTTTCAAATTCAGATAATCCTACATCCTTTGAAATCATCAATAAGAATATGATTTATATACCGTGTGGCACTTTCATTAATTGTTACGCAACGCTTACTTATATAACGTTGCCTTAAACTTTATTTAGATTTAATTATTAATTTATTATTTAAACTGTTTTTAAAATTATCACAAACGAATGAAATCAAACGAAGAAGTGGGATACTCAGTTTTCATGTTAACCTATATTTTCCGCAGGGTTTTATAAAGTAACTGTAAAAAATTTTGTCCACAATATTAAGAAGTGCGTAGGGAACAAACAGAAGACATTGTTTTATATATATATAGTTTATCTAACTATCTATATAATTAAATTTGTTATTTAACTAACTACATAAATGAAAAAGTTATTTAACTAAAATCTTTTCACAGATAATTTATTTTAATATTTAATGATTCTCAATTTATTTCATTATTAACATTAATAGACTTTTTGTTTATTTGTCTAAATATAAAAGAAACCGAGATTTGTACTGTACATTAAAATATTTAAAAGTTACGAGGTATTATCATTAAAAAAAAAAAATATGGATCAGAATTTATAATTCTGAAATTAAATTATAATAATTAATACATATATCATGATTAATATTATACTATATTTTATTTTTATTGTTGAAAACTGATTTTACTTTTTATACAATAAAAGTAGAACATATTTAAATTACTTCAATTAATTTTTTAAATTACATCATAATATTCATTATTAGCCATAATTGATAAGAATTATAGAATCTAATAAAGTTTTCAAAATTTTCCAGTATTTTAAAACAGAAGCTAAGTTAACGAAGAAGGTTGTTCTAGAAAAATTTAATCAATTATTTTTTTACTGAGTAATTTAATTAAACATACTTAGAAAAAGAAAATTGATGTTAAAAATTTTTATCGGTTTTAATATATTCCTAGAAAGTTTTAGTAATTTGATCTTTAAAAACTAATGAAAAATCCTAAAAGTTTAATTTCAGACAACTACACTACAGAAAATTTTCACTATTTTAGAGGATTACATTATATATATGTATGTATATAATTTCTCAAACTAATAAAGAATTACATCATATTTAATATGAACTTTTCTTTGTTTAGATTTTTTAGATAATTTTGCATATTTTATCATTTTATTACATTACATCTTCATTCACATAGAAATTAATTGCATAAAATTAATATCGGATAGTTATTTAATCTAGTGTTTTATCTTTTTCCAATTATAACTTCCTCCAGATGGTTTTGAATATCATCATTGGGGACAGAGGAGGTACTGACCCAATTTGTGTGATACAACCATAACGTTGTTCTCGATTCTCTTTAAATACTTGACTATAACTATATTTAATGAGTAAAGTAGTGAAAATTTGTCATATCTTGATTTTTTTTTATAAGATTATATTCACAAATTTATTCGCTTGTGTTATAATTATGGATATAAAAGATTTAAAAGATAGTTTTAAAAATATATAATTTTCTGGTTACATTTTTCTTATTTTTTTGAAGAATTTGTCCAAATGACTTTGAACATTAAAACTTTCTTACAACTAATTGCATTATATTAGTTACAATGATTTAGGAATGTGTATTAACATTTATTGTGTTTTATTTTTTAGTATTCAATAAGAAATGATTTTTTAATGTAAATTTGTATGCTTTAATAGAGATTAAATACAATTTCATCAAAATTTGTAAATTAGTGATGACAACTTGTAAACATCAGATATACTGACAGAGTATTCTGGATTGGAATATTTTCAGGATTAAACAGAAAAAATATAATTTTATCAAAATAATCTGGGAATATTTTTATTATAATGCAAAGTCGAATTAATTTTTATACGCACTTATTGTAATGTGAGCAAGATAAAATCTAAATTGCATGTTATCAATATTATCATTCTGAATAAAAAATGAGGTTACAAATACTGTCTTTTACCCCGAATAGAAAAGAAACTTTTATTAATCAATTCTGTAGAAAATAAACTCAAATTTTTAAAATATTAACAGAACAATATCATATGGAATAGAAATAAAAAAAGTTTATCTTATTTTTATTAATATTAAACTTAACTTTTATTATTTTTTTAAATAAACATTTTTTAATTAAGTGGAAATTAGCAACATTTATTAATTTTTGTTATGTTTATTCATATTAACTGTTTCTATAAAACATAACATTTATAGTGATAATTGTATTTTGAATTTTAAAAATAAAAAAATAAACATTTTGGAAAAAGTTTAGCATGTTCTTAAACTTGGACTGATTAAAATATATCAATTAAAATATTTTGAGATATTATATTCAACAATTAAGTTTTTACGTTGAATGTAATTTAAAATTAAACATTTACCATCGAATATAGCATTTAATAGAAACTAAGTACTTTCCCATTCAGATAATTTAAGTGGGAATTTTTCGAGATTATGTAATACTTATAAAAGTTTTTCTTGTCGTATCAAAAATAATAAATTAAGAACAAAAAATCTCTCTGTCTTTCGGCGAAATTTAAAAGAAGTTTTACGTCAAAGAAATCAAAGAATATTTTATAAAAATAACAAATTGAATAAGCTACTAATTAAGTGTCCTTCCATTCAATTATTTAGTCGGTAACTTTATGTAACTAAGATTTTATTTCTGTCGTTTCTTTCAGCACAATATACATTCACCAGAGGAAATATAATTTTTGCGACCTCCGAACTTTTTAAACGAAAGATTAACCAGTAAATTATATTCAGGAACCATAAATTACTATTTTTTTTATGTAATTCAACTCCTACTTGTTTAAAACGAAGTTATAAATGTCACGCAAACTTCCGAATATAATAAACGACACGCTGAAATTTCGATTCGAAGTATTTTAATAGATAGAATGCAACTTAAATTTCCAAACTGTCGTTCAATATTTGAAATTTTGCCAAAGTGTAGAAAATATATGCTGAAAACTCTGTTAGCTGAGAAGGACATCAATCAAATGCCAGCAGTCTCCTAAAGAGACAGATTGCTAAAGAGCTATGTCACTTTAGACTTAAAAAAAAAATAGGTTTTGAATTGTGGTTAATTTATGAAAAAAATATATGGCAGTCTTCCATTTGATTATTTCAAGGGTCTCAAAAGTAAAAAAATAAATTAAACAGGAACAAGGTCA